CCGCATCGCGACCCCCGGGACGACCGCCACGCGTGTAGCCGAGGCGTGCACGCTTGAGCGCCGCCACATCGGCGACCGCCAATTTGTAGGATCGGGATGTGAGGACGCTCTTGGACTGGTAGAGCTGGAAATGGTCAGCGGCCTCGAAAACGGCTTCGTCCGCCACGAGAAGGACCTCGAAACGCTTATTAATAAGCCTTTCGATATCCTTCACGTTGTTGAGTGCGTCGATGATGTCGCCATGCTGCGGCTTGAAGTCGATATACTTCAGGTACAATTCGATGGCAGTGAAGACCTCGGCCTGATCGCATACGCTCTTGCGCATGAAGGTAGTAGCTGCGGGCGTAGGGCAAAGGGGGGGGGAGAGAGGGGGGGCGGGTGCGAGGATGCGACGGTGAGCAATGTTGGCGGGGGGCTCACCATCGTCATTTTCAGAGTCTTCGTTGTCGTCCGGGTTGTCAACGAGTGCAGGAGTTGGTGAAGGGGGCTAGTCGGTACGCGGGGCCTTGGGCGCGCAAGGAGGAGAAGCCATTTCTTTCTTTTTGTTGAAATTGATCGTAGCCGCAGCATTATCGGATGAAGTTCCAACTATAACAGTAGGTGCCTGCTGCTGTAACATCGCCAAAAGCTCTTGCAGCTGGTGTGCAGTCAAGGCGAGGACGGCGGCAGATGGCGCGGGGTCAATGGCAGGCGCGTGCTGGGTGGTGGGGCCCGCTTGGCCTACAGGCGACGCGACTTGGGCTGGCGCGTGGTCTTCAGTTGATTGCACGCGCGGCTGTTTTGCAGCCGCGCGTGCTTTTGGAGCAGTGTGTCTGCCACCGAGCAGAATATCGTCGGCTGAAGGGCCCTCGCCGAATTTTTCTTCGGCAGGACGTTTCTACCGACGGTCGGTCCGAAAAACAAAGACAACAGCCCAACAAACTCCACGTACCTGACGCAGCAGCCGCGCTAGTCTCGGGTCCTGCTCGGCGAGCACTAGCCGCGCTAGTCTCGGGTATTGCACAGCGAGCACCAGCCATGCTAGTCTCGTGTCCTGCACGGCGAGCACCAGCCGTGCTAGTCTCAGGTCCAACGGTGGTAGGGGTGGGGATCCCTGCATGGGGACAACACGGTCGAGAAAGGGTTAGGTAAATGGCATGTGTAGCTATGTCATTGCACGAAGATGGCGCTGCTCAAAAAAATTTGTCAAACACTTACCAGTGGCAGACCCACGTCCTACACTGCGAAGGGTGGCACTGGTCTCGGGCATGGCAGTGGCGGGAGAGTCCACAGACGCGCCCTGATGTATTAGACATGGGGAAACACCCGCGTTCCCAGCAGGGTCCTCTAGCGAAGAGTTTGGGATGCCATCCGCACACACCCAGACGGGCGCGGGTAGCGTGAAGGTCGGTGGAAGCACGAGCAAAGCAGGCGCTGGAGGGTCGATCACCTCAGTTGGCATGGCTGTTGTAATGGAGACAGCCGCTGCTGGCGTGGGTGAGGCAAGCTTTTGGTTGGGTGCTGAGACATTTGAAATCTCGTTGGAAAGCCTATTTTGTTTCGCGAAGGCGGCAGTGAGATGAGTAAAAACTCTAGCGCGCTACAGGGAGTTGGAGAGGCAGTCGAAGATTGCGGAGGCTCGTCAAGAGCTGTCGCGTCGCCATCGATACAGCTTCCCCCAGCGACAGCCATGGCGAGAGCTGGCTGGGTGGAAATGCTGCTGCTGGGTAAGGTGAGGACGCAGTTGAGCAGCCAGACAGGCTGCACGCTAGGGTGGAGCAAACGTGAGTGAGCGAGACACGTTTTCCCCACAGCTATTTGGGCTCTTATCAAAATTGAGAGAACCCAAAAGACGATGCCAGGGGGTTCCTCGGTAGGGAGGGGAGAGCGTCGTGTCGCACGACGAAAGGTAAGGCAGGTACGGGCCGCTGGTGGGCAAGGTGGGTAGGTTCAGTGCTGGCATCGTAGCGCGATGCCAGATTCTCTCCTGGCATCGCTGTGCGATGCCAACGCTGTTGCTTCTGATTCCTAACTACAGCTCCTATTGGCTGCCAAGGCAACATTTTGATAACTGCCAATGGGGCTGCAAAGTGGCTGCACGATGTTTACAGCGCGACAGAATTTGGTAATTGTGCGCGTCCCGTCCAGATGCTGCTGTTCAATCAATTGTGTGATTGACGGGGGGGGGGGGGGGGGAGTTAAACAGCCGCCAACCAAAATGAACTTCCCTAAATCACGCAGTTCTCTGTTTCAGTGTCGTCACGCATTACAGCGCTGATTGCTCAGTGTCTTTAGGAACAAAAAACTCTTTCAACAGGGTTATACTTAGAAAAAATGTTTTTTCATCAGGGTCGGTACAAGCAAACACCTTGAAAAAAATGTGTAAAAAGCATAAAAATCCTGATATCGTAGGGCCTGGAGGGGTGTCTCTAGAAAAGGACATCAAACGAATTTATGGGTCGCATAGTGTGCTGGGGGACTCTCTCTGCTAATTTTATAGGTTGCAGGGTGTGTGAGAGGACTTGACCCTTGGGGTCCGGGACTTAGCTGGAAATTTTGGGTTGAGGGCAGGTAGGTGTAGTGTGCGTCTCAGGGTCTGTGCGTGCTGTGCTCTGGGAACTTAGTATTCGCTAAGTGCAAAGTCTGAAATTCTTTGGACTCAAAATCATATAACTTTGAAGGGTTTAGTATTCTTAAAGCGAGAGGTTATAATAGTGACCCCCCTTTCTAGTTGGGCCCAACTAGAAACGACCCAACAACGAATATGTTTTTGGAGGGGCGAGCAGCAGCCCGCGTTTTTTACCAAGCCGTAGGCCACGAAATCGAATTGCGCTTGCGACATTTCGCACTGGCGATAGATTTTACGACCACAGATTTGCGCAGTTAGCATTTCGACCAATCGGGGCCCAGCCTCGTTTTTGGCGGAGTAGTGAACCTCGGTCCAACTTGAAATTCAAGTTGGGCCCACTTGGTGCAGCTTACAGGCAGTGGGGGTTGGGCGACAGGTGGCGCGCTGCTTGCAAATTTTCTTGAGCGACGTTTCCCACCATACGTCATGTGTTTCCGCCAACCAATCAGGTAATTGCCTCCTCTCGCCCAATTTCCCCTGCACGCATTTCTCGACCGTGTACCCTCTGCCCCGTCTCTGTTTTGTCCCTTAGTCGCAAAACGGACGTCTGGGCCCTTTCAAGTTGGACCCGCCTTCACTATTTTGACCTCTCGCTTTAAGTTGGCAAGTCTGAAAAATATGTCAACTTATATATATTATATATATTACTTTTGTAGGCTTGGTAGGTAAGGTGTGCTACAATACTGAATCCTACTGTAGAGGGTATAACATTCTTCTTGTATCCCTCTTTCTAGTCCATCCCTCTTTTCTCTTGTCACTTTTCTCCCTAGCTAAAACCTCTCGCCATTTCTCATGCCTAGCTAGCTTCTAGGCTTTAACTCCTTTCAACAAAATCAGGATCGGCAAAAAAAATGGTTTGAAATTTCAGACAATCAGACTAAAATAATCTGATAAAATCACCCCTGCTGGTTGGCTGTCAGCACCAGCAGCCCCGGCTGCCCTAAGTTATTCCCATTCAGCAAGGTGATGAGGGCGAGTCACACGATTGGGGGGGGGTTGGGGGGGGGAGGGGAGGGGATTTCGACCCACCGATGGGTGGTTCTAAAGGCGTCAGGACCAGCGGCCCCTTCTGCCCTAATAAGATCTCATTGAGAAAGATGATGAGGGCGAGCCTCATGATGGGGCCGATGTCAGCAAAACCGAGAGGCTGTTATTAGGAGCCTAGATTAACACAAGATCTACAGAAGTGATTGGTGGTTGGTAATCAGCACGAACAGCCACTGCTTCTTGAGGAGGATCTCATTGAGGAAGCTGATGAGAGCAATCCACATGATGGGGCGATGTCCACACCACCCCACCAATGGGTTGTTCTAAGGCGTCCGGGAAAAACAAACAAAAGCCTACAAGCACAGTCACACGAGCGATTGCTAGTTGGCAATGAGCACCAGCAGCCCTTGCTGGCCCAGGAGGATCTCGTAGAGGCAGCTGATGAGAGCGAGCCACACGATGGGGGTGATGTGAACAACAATGATACACACTTGCACTGACCTATGAGAGCTGCGCCGCTACCTTGGCCTGCAGATCTCCAGGGACAGAGCAATGCACACCATCACTCTCACACAGCCACACTTGGTGCACCAGGTCCTTCAGAGGTTTGGTCTTCAATTCTTCTCCGCACAGCCCAGACCTCTGCCCGTAGATCACATACTCTCGGACGGCACAGGCCAGTGGTCCTTACAGGACACACAGACGCTTCTTGGGCAGGCGACACTGAGACACTCAGGTGCTCTCTGGGCACTGCTTTAGCCTTGGTGCAGGCGCCATCTCGTGGAGTTCCACCCGCTCGCCGTCTTTTGCACAGTCTAGCTGTGAGGCTGGTGCCATGGCGGCACAGGAGCTCCGCTGGTTGACTTTCTTGCTCACAGACTTAGGTGAGCAGCCTAGCTCTGCCCCGGTCTTGTACGCTGACAATAGGGCCATGATCCTCCTGTGTCAGGAGCCTCGAATGGAGGGCAGAGCGAAGCATATCCAGCTGCAGTACTTCCTCTTGCGCGAGCTGCAGCAGCGCCGCCAGGCCTGCGTAGTTCACTTGGCCTCTGGTGCCAGCACAGCTGATATTTTTACGAAGGCGCTTGCGCCAAAAGATCATCAACGGCACTGTGTACAACTTGGTCTAGTTCCTGTAGCTTCTCACTTGCTAGGACCTTGATTGTGTACTATATCTTATCTTTTCTTGACTGCCCTTGTGGCTTCTGTTCCAGTGGCTGGACTAGTAGTGCCGCCCTACGTTGCTCCTGTTTCCTTTGTACTCTTGCTGACTGGTCTTCAGACCCTTGCCTCAGAGGTTGGACTAGTAGTGCCACCCTGAGCTGCGAGTCTCTTGCTAGTCGGTGCCCCTTGTCTAGCCTAGGGGATGTGTCAACATATATTATATATATGTCGTTTGGGCTAGGTAGGTGCGTACTCTTAGAGGGTACAACCCCCTAGACAAAACCAACATGTTTCCATCATTCTAGTCATTCATTCTCATGCTAATATGACCTGCTATTAACAAGCCCTTTTAACTTAGTGGTTAGTGACTGAGTTCTGACACTCGTTGAGGCAGCTGATGAGAGCAAGCCACACGATGCGGGCGATGTGAACAACAATGATAGGCAACTCCAAGGTGCCTACAAGAAAAGAAAATCTACAGCAGTGATTGCTGGTTGGCAATCAGCACGAGCAGCCCCTGCTGCCCCAGCAGAATCTCGTTGAGGAAGCTGATGAGGGCGAGCCACACAATGGGGGCGATGTCCACCCCACCGATGGGCTGGATGATGGTTCGGGTGATGCGGAGAATGGGCTCCGTGGGCGCATAGGCGATGATGAAAGGGAACTCGGACACTGGCAGCTGTGTTGGGGGAGGAGTGGGGGAGGGGGGGAGGGGGGGAGGGGGGGAGGGAGAGAGGGGGAGGGTGTCGGGCATGGGAGGGAATGGGGGGAAGGGAGAAGGTGATGCGGAGAATGGGCTCCGTGGGCGCATAGGCGATGATGAAGGGGAAAATTGGACACTGGCAGCTGCTGAGGGGCAGGGGCAGGGGGCGGAGGAAGAGAGGGAGGTTTCAAATACAGTGGGTGAGTGAGATCTCCACCCTGCCAATGGGCTAGATGACGGCACAAGCGATGCAGAGAATGGGCTCCGTGGGCGCATAGGCGATGATGAAGGGAACTTCCGACACTGGCAGCTGATGAGGAGCAGGGGCGGGGGGGGTGGGGGAGGGGGAGGGGGGAGAAGGGGGGGGAGAACGGGGGTGAGAAGGGGGGGGAGAAGGGAGGGCAAGCCACACGACGGGGCGATGTCAACCGCACCGATGGGCTGGATGAGGACTCGGGTGATGCACAGGATGGGCTTGGTGGGCGCACAGGCGGTGATGAAGGAGAAGGCGGTTGGGATGGGAGGGGAATGGGGAAAAGAAAGCAGGTGGTGCGCAGGGCGGAAAAGAAAGCAGGTGATGCGCAGGGCGGACAGGAAAGCAGGTGATGCACAGGGCGGACAGGAAAGCAGGTGATGCGCAGGGCGGACAGGAAAGCAGGTGGTGCACAGGGTGGACAGGAAAGCAGGTGATGCGCAGGGTGGACATGAAAGCAGGTGGTGCGCAGGGTGGACAGGAAAGCAGGCGATGCGCAGGGTGGACAGGAAAGCAGGTGGTGCGCAGGGTGGGCAGGAAAGCAGGTGGTGCGCAGGGTGGACAGGAAAGCAGGTGGTGCACAGGGTGGACAGGAAAGCAGGTGGTGCGCAGGGTGGACAGGAAAGCAGGTGGTGCGCAGGGTGGACAGGAAAGCAGGTGGTGCGCAGGGTGGACAGGAAAGCAGGTGGTGCGCAGGGTGGACAGGAAAGCAGGTGGTGCGCAGGGTGGACAGGAAAGCAGGTGGTGCGCAGGGCGGACAGGAAAGCAGAAGATGCGCAGCGGGGGCTTGGTGGGCGCATATGCGATGATAAAAGCAAGCTTGGACACTGGCAGTTAAGGCTGAGGGAGGGGAGCGGGGGGAGGGGGGGGGGAGGTGGGGGGATAAGGGGGGAGCGGGAACACAAATACAGCAGGTGAGATGCTTACGCCACCAATGGGCTGCATGATGGCACCGGTGGTGCGGAGAATGGGCTTCGTTTTTGCAGGCGATGATGAAAGGGAGCTTGGACACTGGGAGCTGACGTGGAATTCTAAAAAATCTCTCACAAGGAGAGGTGGAAGATGGAAGCAAGGAAGCAGAAAAAAAGAGGGGAAACCCGGAGTGGGTGGGTGGGTGTGTGGGTGAGGGGGTGGGTGGGTGGGTGAGCCGTAGGTAAATTGGTGAGCGCCTTAACGTATGAAAATTTGGCAGAGGGTTGACTCACTGCGATGTGCTGTGCGGTCTGAGCATGAGCCCCTGCTTGCTGCGTTGCATTTGAATACATGCATTGCACCAGGAAGCACCTCAGATGCACCTCAAATGCACCTTAGATGCACCTTAGATGCAACCTCCATAGTAGTCACACCTGCGGGTACCACGATATGACGATGCGGAGGATAAAGGGGAGCTCTCACTGTAGTCGCACCATGACGTCACACTTGACACCACTATGACGTCACACTTGACACCACCATGACGTCACACATGACACCACCATGACGTCACACTTGACACCACCGTGACATCACCACCGTTACAGCCGAGCCTGAGAACACCCACTCACACGCACCTGCGGGTACCACGACATGACGATGCGGAGAATGAAGAGGAAGTTAAGCCCCGCGAAAAGCGGGCCCAGCACGGCACCCACTGCCGACGCCGCATCCGGCGAGATCTCCGCAATTACCGCCGCGTTTTGCGCGAGTGACGCGAGGCTATCAAGGGACACGGCAGACGCCGCCGGCGCGAGGAAAAACGAAGCGGAACAAGCGGCGGCAGTCGCGGCGCCAGTCACGGAGGTCGCTAGGACAGAAGGGGAGTCGGATAGTGCTTGCTGGTTACTGGCGGTTATGCGACAGACAGCGGATTCGTCGGCTTGGCTCGCGGAGTCGCGATGCCGTTGGATCAACGATCGGACGGCCAGCGCTCTGCACGAAAGCCCTCGTCGAATCGGCGCAGTGAGGGTAGTAGACGGTAAACGACTTGACAATGAGGGGGACGGCAGGAGTGGAAGCTGCAAGGAAGAGGGGCTCATCGCTTGATGTGATGTAAGCGAAAGGATGCGGGTTGCAGTTGCCATCTCCGCACTATGACGAAAGCGCTTAGCGCTTCGTACGCGCAGGACAATCCACAATAAAGGGGAAAGTGAACTAATATGGAGATTAAAATGCAGCGGTGCGGACGGAGGCTTCTATTTAGGGAAAACAGAGAGGCGAGCTGACCTCACTGGACCAGGCTGACGTGGCAAAATCTGGATACGAAAAGGTGAGAATGGTTGTCACGAATTAGTAATTCCTTACTCAGGCTTGCTACAGGGCGTACGACTATAACAATCCCCAACCAGCGATAGGGTTCCAGACTTTCCGGTTCGAGCCTCCAGGGCCTTTCCGGACCTCGCTTCGACACATCGAGGCCCTTCGACACCTTTCCCGAACCTTCTGATCCTACGTCCAGGATCACCCTAGGTTTTCTATATATTGCGTTGTCTTTCATTTTATTGTCATTCACAGTTTCGCCATTGCCCTCCGCGCTATTCGGCAGTTCCATTCATAACACTTGGTATCAGAGCCACTTTCCTCACCCGCTGAGCTTCGTGGGCAAATTTTTTTTTTGGAGGGGGAGAATTTAGATGGCGCTACGGAAGGCAGTGGTTTTTATTTGAAGCATGATATGATATGCTTTTACAAGTGCATTTGCGTGGGCTTTTGAAGACCGTCGATCCGACCCCAAGGGACGAGTAGGATTTGCTCGGCCATCCCCTCGAGGGCGGTTGTGTCCGTCCTGACATGGCGAAGATTTTGAAGAGTGTTTCCGGTATGCTGTTCCTTTCGCATATCGTTAAAGGAGTTTCGGTTGCGGTTTCAGATTTTTCGGCAAGCAGCAACGACGATTCGGATTGGTGTCCGAATGGAGCGAGGAGCTCGTCACGAGACGACAAGCTCGCGGATATCCCCAAGCGAAGAGGATTTCGTCAGGAGCGCGTGTAGCAGACATGGCTGCATGGTGAAGTGTAGCTAACGTCAAAGGGCTCGGCGTTTCCGGCAGGCGACACGCAAGTGAAGACGAGACTTCGGAGGTGTTCAAGGACATGCAGTTGGAATTTTCGGCACCACCTACAGCGACGGAATTAATTGGGCTAGAAAAGGTACACTAGTCAAAAGATTAATTATTTTCAGCATGTGTCGTGTACATTTATCCCCAAATACCAATTGTATTATGTGATTTAGGAGTGAAGCATCCTTGTGCTGTATGGTATTGTACGTTTTATCGAACTGCTTATAGTGAGTCCACCACTTCGCTAGCGAGACTCGATGCGGACAATTAGCTCCCGATTCGAGTCTAGGTCTATTTTCTCACGACATTTCGCGATCTCGCAAACCTAACCTCCTAGTCTTTATCGACGGCATAACGTGAACCCCGCCAGGCTCATAGCAACGATGCGGCCTCTTGCTTCATGCCAGAAAGATAGGATCGCGACCTTGCTTCAACGCGGTCATAGCTTCCGTCAGATCGCTAGAATGCTAGGGATAGGGAAGAGCACGGTTCAGAAATACGCTCAAGAGGCCTCTCAGCGCACCAGCAGCCTAGCGGTTAGGCCAACAGTCCCGAGGTCTGGCCGACCGCGCCTGCTCTCAGTACGTGACAGGCGCATCCTTGTTCGCGCTGTGACTTCAGGCGAGGTGAAGACTAGCATAGAAGCCGCAAAGCTACTGGAAACAGACCACGGCATTAAGATCTGCCCCAGAGCAGTCCGCAACGCCCTCAAACTGTCTGGCCTGGTCGCCGTTCAGCAACCGAAGAAGCCACGTCTCTCCGCGTGTAACATCAGAGACAGACTGGATTTCGCCAAGGCCCATGTTGACTGGACCGTGGACGACTGGAAGCGGGTGGTCTGGTCTGATGAGACCAAGGTCAACCATTTCTGTAGTGACGGCCGGTCATATGCATGGATTCGCGACGGGGCAGCTCTTCAAGGGCAACACATAAAACAAATAGTGAAGCATGGGGGTGGGTCAGTCATGATATGGGGGTGTATGACGTATGATGGCCCTGGATACATGTGTAAAATCGACGGTCGTATGGACGGGCAGCTGTATTGAAGCATCTTGCAGGATGAGCTTGCACAAACCATTGAGTTTTATGACCTTAATACCTCCGATGTCATTTTCCAGCATGACAATGACCCCAAGCACAAGTCCCGCCTTGTGCAGGAGTGGTTGTCCGAGCAGGAATATTCAGTCCTGCTATGGCCCCCTTCATCCCCAGATCTCAACCCCATCGAGCACTTGTGGGCCCATCTCAAACGCGAGCTGTCCAAGTATGAGCACCCCCCCTCAGGAATGCTCCAGACTTGGGAGCGGATTCAAGAGATCTGGGAGGGGATAGATGCTGATGTGTGCAGGGGGCTCATTGATAGTATGCCTAGGAGGGTGAAGGCGGTGGTTAGGGCTAAGGGAAAATGGACTAGGTACTGATTTCAAGTGTGTCTTTTCCATAGTTTGAACATGGCACAAACTGTCCGAGTGTACTTGTGTGTGTATGGATTTTGCCCAGGCACATTATACTGTATTTTCAAGGCTGGTTCCCAGGTGACAGTCGTGTATAGGCATATGTCTAACTCTTCCTTAAAACCTGGCAATTAATAAGCTGCATCTCTAAACACTACACACGATTATTCGCCTACAGAGGCTGAGATATGGACAATTTCTTCCGTCGCTGTAGATCGCACGTGCAACAAGTGGGGCTCAGGCACGGAGCAATCGGAGGGTGGCAAACCTCGGATTTTGCGTGACCTGCTCGTCTGGAAGAGCAATTTTGTCTGCCCTGGAGCTACTGTACAAGCTCACCGAGAGCAGTTTCCCCGCAAGGAAATTGTTTTCGTGGTCAGAAAATTACACTCCACGGTCAACGGAGGAAGACAAAGACCTACCCTCGGGGTATTCACTTCAGTGTCTCCACGGGGTCACCGCAAAGGACCAACGGCAAAGAAATTAAGCAGTGGAAGAAGAAGAACTGGGAAGAGCTGGTTAAGAGTCAGCGGCAGACGGATCCTCCGACTGACTTGGCTGGGTCGCCCGATTTTCAGCATCTCCACCATGTGGTAGTACAATACATGCTATCGATCGATCCCGGACGAATAAAGGAGAATGAGCTTGCGGATCACCCTGGGCTGATGGATCAAGGAAGAAATGTTTTCAGGCGAACGATTTGTGAAAATCGGATGCTGTACAGTGGGAGGCGCGAGAAGAAGATTAACGAAAAAAGCGAAGATTTTTTGCGACGGCGATCGGACGGTACGCAGAGCTCGAGTCTGATACGAACGGAGAGGATTTGTCGCTGAGATCGACGGGGTTGCGAGCTTTTCGAAAGAACGTGCGCAGTACTTTTGGGAGAACATCGAACGTGGGCGCTGTGTGAACATCGTCCTACGGGGGTTTTACTGTGGAAGCGGCAGTTGAAGAAATTTGCAGCAGTTTGGAGCAGATTTCTTTAGAGACGATTTTTTCAGGGAGGGGAAGGAGAATCCCTCACGTAAGCTGCAAAGTGGTTGCCCGCAAATTAGACTGTTTATTCGCCTAACTACGATAGCGTTTGCACTTACCTGAGTACAGGCACACGACGGATTCACCACTGCTCTGGAGTGTATGCATCAAATGGAGCTTCAGGAAGACAAGGGTTACTGTTGCCGTGGGAAAAGCGTGTTGCTGTTACGGAAAATTTGGAGTCACGCAGGAGTCTTCAAGGATTATTCCTGAGTTGCGGGGCTATAATCGAAGATTCGGCTGCGAGGACTCATTCGGGGATTTACCTGGGCGGGCGCAATGATGGGTGAACAGCAGCGGGTCGCTAAACGTCGGGTATTTTCCGGGTGGGAATTCTTCAAGTTTTTGGCTGGAGCGGTAGCTGGGGTCACGGGTACCTACCGAGCTGTGCGATGGTTGAAATACCAGCATGGTTAGTCGGTGAAACTGCAAAAAATGCATTTTTCGTAGTTGAGAACTGTACCCAAGTTTTTCTGGGGTACCTGCCGTAGCCGCGCGATGGGTGAGCGTCTGCACGGCGAACCGGTCAGGTGGAGTTGCGAAAAAATCTACAGAGGTTAACAACACGAATCAGATCGACGGCAAATGAGAAGCTGAATATAGATCTACGACGTCGGGAATTTCAGGAATTTCTCAGGTATTTGTGAAAGTGGAAGGCGTGTTTACATTAACCGCCTGAGGCGACATCTGCAACAGTTACTGGAATGATTGAGCTTTCGCCCATGTGCTGATGGACTTCGCTGACTTTCGTGAGACGCGGATGCGTGTTCTCGCATGTGTCGTGAATGACCTCGCATTTGACGAATAGCTGGATATCGTTGACTTTGCGAAATACGGACGTGTGATTCTGCGAGTGTCACGACTCTCGAGGAATTAAAAGATGAACTATCTACACTAGTGGAATTACACACAAGTTTGGCGCTATGCAGCAGCTGAATAATGTAGTTTTGTGTGCTGATATAGTACTCGACGACAGGAGTTGTAATTCGCGGTGAAGGACTCGCTAGAGACAAGGAAGCTGTGGTGCGGTAGTATCCCTACTGCCCATTTGGTTATCTGGGTAATTCGACCAAGATTCGACGTGTACGATCGATTGCAATCGTTTCGACGTGTTTCGACCGTTGGATGAAGTTTCTTTGAAGAAGCTTGAGATTCTCAGCAGTGGTGGCTTGACTACTACGAGATTCAGTTAGAGTGTGTGTAGTTTTGTTTATTTGTGTGCTTATCTAGAAGGGGGGAGAGTGTAAGGAATTAGTAATTCCTTGCTGAGGCTTGCTACAGGACATACGAATCGAACAGTCCCGAACCAATGATAGGGTTCCAGACCTTTCAGTTCGAGCCTCCTGGGCCTTTCCGGACCTCACTTCGACACATCGAGGCCCTTCGACACCTTTCCCGAACCTTCCGATCCTATGTCCAGGATCACCCTAGGTTTTCTATATATTGCGTTGTCTTTCATTTTATTGTCATTCACTCATTCACAGTTTCACCATTGCCCTCCGCGCTACTCGGTAGTTCCATTCATAACAATGGTAACCATATGTAACACGTATGTCGCTACTTTTGCTAAATATTTTCAACTTCTTCTACATAAAGTTCTCCTTGTGCCTCTTTAAACCAAATTCTATCGTCGATAGTATCGTAACCTGACCAACAAACCAAGACACCGATGAAGGTGACACCCTCCATGAAGACGGTAACAATGACCGATGATACGCTGGATCCAGCAATCGGGTT